TTTTATCCTATACACTTCCACGTTTTGAAGTTTTATCCTATACACTTAAGTCTAAGTCGTCAATATATATCAAGAGAAGCAGGTGTCTCTTAGTGGTGGTCTCAAAGCATACAACTGTGTACCTTTCCACAGTCTGATAAATGATCTTTCGCTACTACTTTGTTCTCTTGTCACTTAAACAATTTTGTATCCATGCTGCCACTCTATTTTCAAGAGTCTTCAATATTGCAGGCAATCCTTGTGCGAAATGATAAACACATGCCGTTACCTCCACAATTTTACACCCCACAGTATCCTTCGATTAAAATCAAACAATCTTGGTGACTTTTCAACTTTAAGTGCTGCCAGCTTTTCTAATAAGCCCTCATTATCATTTTTAGCCTGTACACTCACTCAGCCGACCCTTTGTTCACAAAGACTTGGCAGCGTCATTTTTGATGATAAAGATGGCAAAGTGCTCTTTTTGAGCCTCTGCTTCCGTACGTAAGTATCTCTTTGGTTACGATTCAATTTTATATATTCAACCTGTTGAGTTGCTGACTTGTTCTGTGACATTGCCCATGAAAGGCATCTGGTTGCTGCTTTTAGGATTTGGAAATATTTTCAACTCATATATTGGCTTTAATTTCAACAAGTATTTTGCAGTCCTTTGCACTACTGGCAATGTCAGATTCTTCAGAAACCAACTGTCTCTATGGCAGTTTTCTCTCTATCCTTCAGACAGCATATTCCAAATCATACAAAAATGTTGTAGTTTTGGTTGTTTTTCAAACCACAGTGAAGTCCCCATTTTCTGGTGCCCAAGCACCCAGAATTCTCATGCAACTGGCATTTAGAAAGGCGTCTCCCAACTGCTTGCAGTAGTTCTCCCACAATGCAATATTCCGAGATATTCCCTCTAAACTCTGCCTGTCTATTTAAGTGTCTTCTCCAAGCTAGCATTTCTCATGCAACCAGCAGATTTATAGTTTAGATATTACTTAACTGCTGTAGAAGATTTTTGGATTTTCTTTTATCTTAATTGTCCTTTCTCATGGTCTTTGCCCCTCATGTTTTATTTTCAAGTCCATCCTAAATTTTATATATTCAACCATACCATCTTTATCCTTTTTCCCATCCTTCAGAACTATCAAATACTCTTGGGAATATACAGGACTAAGCCATGGTCAGTTTACAATGATTCCTCTGTGATGGTTATCATGTACTAATTTACCTCTATTTGTGCTAGCAATTCATCCATCTTCTTATAAATTCTGTGTGAATTCAGATAAAGAGCCTTTAATTCCATATTTTCCCACTTTCCCTGAACTGCTGTATATGCCAGTATGTTATGATAGCTTGCTAACTATTGATATGTGATTTTGCCCAGAAAGGCATCTGGTTGCTGCTTTTAGGATTTGGAAATATTTTCAATTCATATAGAGGCTTTAATATCAACAAGCATTTTGCTGTCCTTTTGCACCATTGGCAATGTCAAATTCTTTTCTTCAGAAACCAACAAATTTGTTTTCTTTGTTCAACTTGCACACCATAGTGAAAATAAAAGCCAGCAGATATCACTGATTGAATTTTGAATATAGCAGGTTTAATATATTAATGTATATTAATTATGGATTTTTAAAAATTCTTTTACAGGATGTAGGAGTGCTAGCAAGGCCACCATTTGTTGTCCAACCCTATTTACCCTGGACCTAAGTGACTTGTTAGGGCATTTAAGAATTCACCATATTACTGTGGGTCTGGTTTTACATCTGGCCGGGCCAGGTAAGCATGTTAGATTTTCTTCGCGAAAGGATGTTAGTGAGCTAGATAGGTTTTACAACAATCGATGATCATGATCATGATTGCCACAACTGAGATTAGCTTTAAGTTCCATATTTATTCCTTGAATTTAAATTTTGGCAGCTACCATGGTGACGTTTGAACCCATGTCCCAAGAGCATGAGTCTGCGCCTCTGATCATGACACTCTGGTACAAGATGTCATTCAAGTGAGATTGGAGCAAAACACATGTAGTGTATTTGAAGACAGTATAGTTGAAGATGTCATTTACTGTTCTCTGCAGCTGAGAGCATGAGTCCTGAAGGCTGTGTTGCCTTTCTATTTCCAAGGTTAAGGACATCGCTTTAGGACTGCAAAGAAATTTGGAATCAGAAGGGAAAATTTCAGTTTTCATGGCGCAGGTGAGTACCAACAGCTACAGTAGAACTAAGAAAGAGGTTGGCGGAAATAGTATGAGCAACTTGGGACTAAATTAAAAGGTAGCAACACAAAAATAACAATCTCTGAATTACTACCTTAGCCATGAGCAAATTGACCTAGATTAGGTAGTATCAGAGAGTTGAATTAGGAGATATGGGTTTTGATTCCTGGGATGCTGGCACTATTGCTAGAGAAAGAGGAAGTTGTACCGTTTGGGCTGCCTTCACCTGAACTGTGACCAGTGTGCTTGTCATCTTGGCCTGTAGAGACAATTCAAGGTAGAAAGTGGGGGCCAGAGTTCAGGTGAAGGGATATTTGGAAATGTAAAAGAGAAAGGCAATAGTACAAGGTAATGATGTAGATAGGGATAGTTAGAATGTGACAAAAAAGCACAGTACATACCAGCATTTAGGGTAGATCAGGGAAAGTGGGAAAATGCAGAATGAAAGGCTTTTTACCTGAACTCACACAGGATAAGGTAAATTGGTATGTTATGATAACCATCAGAGAGCGATGGTTGTAAAATGACCATGGCTTATTCCTGTATATTCAAGAGTATTTGACATTTCTGAAGGATGGGAAAAAGGATTAAAGATGGTATGGTTTATTAATAAAGGTTGAGATTGGTACAGTAATTAGAAATGATCTTGGTCCAGAAAATCAAAATGTTCAGTTAGTTTAGATGGAGATGTGAAATTGCAAAGGAAAGAAGTCGCTGGTGGCAAATGTTCCCAGGTCCCTTGACAGTAGCTGCACAATAGAACAGAGTCCAGATCAGAAAATAATGGGGCTTATGAGAAAATTACTTCAGTATTATTGGGAGACTAATGTTCATTTAGAGTGGACAAATCAAATTGCGCAAAAATAGTTTGTAGGATGACTTTTGAATGTATTTGAAACAATTTCTCAGAATAAAATATAACACCAACCAAAGAATAGACTATTTTAAACCTGGTATTTCGTTATGGCACAGGCTTAATAAATGACCCTGGAATAAAATATGTTCTGGATAGAGATCATAACATGGTAATTTTCACATTCGGTTTGAAGGTGAGAAACTTTAATTTGAAAGGCAATTACAAGGGAATGAAGACAGAGTTGTCTAATGTGAAATTTGGTTAAAAGATAAGACTGATGAGAAGCAGAGGCAGGCATTTTCAAGATATTTCGTAACTCTCAATGAAGATAAAATCTATTGTGAAAGAAAGATATGATACCCAACGCAAACTAAGCTTAAGAGTGGTGTAAAATTGAAAGAAAAGAAGTACCATGCTGCAAAGATTAGTGCTAAGTCAAAAGATGACTTAACAAAAGTAACAACGTGGGAGAAGTTGTGTTATGAGAGAAAACTAGCAAAAAATACGAGATAAACAATGAAAACTTCTAAACAAATATGAGGAAAAAGACTAGCAACAGTGAGCATTGGACTTCTTAAAGAATGAAATTTAACTAATTATGGGGAAAATGTTGACAAGGATGTTATGTTGGTCTTCAAAATAGAAGACATGAAAAGCATTCTGAGGATTGTAGAAAAGCTGAGAGCAAAAGCGAGAAAGGAACTTAAAACAATCTTGATCTCCAGTGAAAAAGTTCTAAGAAATGAGACTAAAAGCTGACAGGTTCCCTGGTCCTAATAACCTGCATCCTAGGGTCTCTAAGGAATTGGCTGCAGAGATGGTGGGTGGTCAGAATCTTTCAAAAGCAGATA